GACAGGAACAGAAAAGTGTTTTCAAACATATCACCATGAAAATATAAACTAAAACCAAACCAAGAAACGCCACACACTGGGCTGGAGAGATGGCTCAGAGGTTGAGAGCACTGACTGCTCTTCCATAGGTCCTGAGTTCAATTTCCCACAACCATATGGTGGCTCGCAGCCACCTGTAATGAAATCTGGTGCCCTCTTCTGGCCTGCAGGCACACATGCAAACAGAACACTGTATACATAATAAATAAATTATCTTAAAAAAAGAAAATTACTAGAATAGCTTTCCAGTGAGAAGCCCGACTGCAGTGAGAAGAATGTGTAGCAGTTAGGACTTTAACAACGACACATGCTTGTTCCCTAGCAAGGCACTCATGCAAAAAGCCTGGTAGATGACTCTCCATAGCAACTATATGCATAATAGCCCCAAACCCAGGGTATCCCCAATGTCCTTTCACAGAGGAACTGAATAGACATTGTTACAGTTGTCAGTCAGAAAGAATCAGTTACTAGTGCACAGAATGATGTGGAAGATCCTTTCACATACACTAACCAATGGAGCCTGAGACAAAAGACAGCTCACTGTACGATCACTTGATGTTCCGGAGCAGGTAAAGCTACACTATAGAGGAAGAATCATAGCAGAGGCTGCTGCAGTAGGAGAAACTGGCTGAGGCAGATAGGGCGACACTGCTGTACCTTGATGGGGTGTGTGGTACTCCAGCACACACGTTTTGTAAGGTGAATCGACTTCACTTATCTGTATGTTTTTTCTGCACATGCCACAATCAAAAGAATATCAGAGGGCTGCTCACTGCTACCCAGAGTAGTTTACAAATAGCCAATGGTTTGCAGGCAATAAAAGAGCAAATAAATCAGTAAAGGTGCCCCTTTGCCTTTGACTGGTGCCTGCGTTTCGAAAGCCATTAGCATTATTCTGAGGTAGGAAATCCAAAATCTGGCATAAGCCAGCCATTGAGGAGTTACTTGCAGAGGCAGGTGAATCTCTGAATTCCAGGCCAGCCTGCTCTACACAATGAGTTCTATAGCAGTCAGGGGTACACAGAGAAACCCTGTGTGTGTTGGGGGCGGTTACTTGGGGCTGGTAGTGGGGAGTACAGAACAGCGAGAAGTGAGAGTAGAAAGAGAGAAGCAGAAAGTTCCTAAGTGAAAGTCACCCTGCTCAAAATGAGCCTGCAAATCAGGACTCTATCCCTGAAAACACACATGCTAATGAGGGCAGCAACAAAATAATCACTAGGAACAGTTTTCACGCAACAAAATCAGCACAGATTCACTCTGAATGTAATTGACCTGGCAAAGCAGTGTGGCACTGACTTTAAAGAAAAGTTCCGAGTACTCTCCGTGATCTGAAAGAGAAGCTGGCTTAGAACTCAGGGGGTGAGGCTCTTGCCAAACATAGGCAAGGCCCTGGAGTTTATTTCCAGCACTGCAGAAAGAGAATGGAGAGGAGAGAGGAAGGCGTGGGGAAAGGGGGAGAGGAAGGGAGGGACACCTTAAGCAATCTTACTGTAAAAGATTGAGCAATAAAGTAGTTTTACGTGGTATTTTTAAATACTGATATTAAAACACAATTGATAAACTCCCCATGAAAGGTTTATAGTTGCTGAAATAATTTTCTAGTGACTCTGTGGTCGCTTGCTGCTAGAATAGTGAATCTGAAGGTAGTGCAGAGAAATACACCCAGGAAGGAACGTACATGGATAGGAAATACTATTTTCTAAAATGGGAAAAGGCAGATGTAAGACGTGAAGGAGTGAGTGACAAACTCCAGTGGAAGCCCCAGCCTAGGACTAGCAAAGATGTAACGGCTGAAGAATGATGAGTGGTTTATCTAAATTTGAAAAAAAAAAAAAAACACCTAAATCCTCAAATCAAAAGATAATAAAAAGTAAAACTACATCTAGACCAGAGGGACAGATCTGAGAAGCAGCAAGAAGAAAGGAGAACTAGCCTGCCCAGGAGCAGCAGGGATCCTGTCAGCAGAGTCCCCACACAGCAAGAGATGCCTCTGTCATACATGCTTCGTGCAGCTAGACTAGTGTTGGGGCTAAGGGAAGAAGGAAGTTAAGGTCAGCATTCTAGGTGGTTTTATGCCATCTTGACACAACCCAGAGTCATCTGAGAGAAGGGAACCTGGATTGAGAAAATGCCTCTGTGAGATCAGGCTGTAGACAAGCCTGTGGCATTGTCTTCATTAGTAATTGATGGGGCAGGGGCCAGCACATTGTGGGTGGTACCACCGCTCAGCGGGTGGTCCTGGGTTCTGTAAGAAAGCATGCCGAGCAAGCCAGAAATCAGCTCCCCTCCATGGCCTCTACATCAGCTCCTGCCTCCAGGATCCTGCTCAGTTTGAGTTCCTGCCTTGGTTTCCCTTGGTATACTGTGATTCCATGCATATAAGCTAAATAAACCCTTTCCCCTGCAGGGTACTTTGGGTCATGATGTTTCATTGCAGAAATAGGAACCCTAACTAATACAGTTAGACACAAAGAACATAAGAGATCATGCCACTCCTCAGGAGGCAGAGGCAGGTGGATCTCTGTGAGTTCCAGGCCAGCCCAGTCTCCAGAGCGAGTGCCAGGACAGGCGCCAAAGCTACACAGAGAAACCCTGTCTGGAAAAACAAGAAAACAAAACAAAACAAAACAAAAGATCATGCCACTCTGTAGATTTTTGCTAAAAGAAATTTCTACTTCAGAAGATAGAGATGTAATTCACATGGCAATGATTTTCATACTCTCTCTAGGAAACACAGAACACAAAATATATAGGACAAGGTTTATTACATTTCTCAGAATATCTTAACTCTTAACTAATTACTTCTTGCGCTAACAAAAGGAAAAGCTTAGGCACGCATGTATATGAGCACACACTTGTATCCATGTGTATACACACGAACACACATCCACATATATAAGCATTAAAAACCAGCACAAATGTATTCTCTGAGACTGTGGCAGCATGCACAGGCCCTGCAGAGCTTGGGCTAGATGGGGTCCCAGAGCAAAGTGGACAGGAACTCCCATAGGCAAGAAGCCATCACCAATTGATAACAGCTCAAAAATGAAAAATTCGTTTTCTCCAATGGAGTCTCACTGAGTATACAAATCACACTGAATGGCAGATTCTATGTCCAGCAGTAGATGGCCAACTCTAAACAAACTCAATGGTATTTTGGCAGATTGTTGTTTTGTTGTTGTTGTGTAGCCCTGGCTGTTGTCTATAGACCAGGCTGGACTTGAACTCACAGAGATCAACCTGCCTCTGCTTCCCAAGTACTGGGATTAAAGGCGTGTGCCAGCACAGCTCAGCGGTTTGGATATTTTTACCATTACTGGTTTTTCACTTGCATATTATGGTTTCTGGTTTTGTTTTTTATGGTTTTAGTGTATGTATGTGTTTTTGCGCTTTTTCTTTGTTTTGTTTTATTTTACTCTGTGTTTTTTTTTTTTAATTGCCTTTTTGTTTTCTAGAGACAGAGGAAGAGTTGGAAGGGTGGGTAGGTGGGAGGATCTGGGAGGAGATGAGGGAGGGGAAACCATGACCAGAATATGTTGCATGAAAAAGTCTATTTTCAATGAAAGAGAGTTACTTGGGCTAGTTTCTGCTCCTCTCCACTGTGTCTATTATTTGTTTGCTCTTGTTTGTGTTCATCATTTAAATTTATGTTCCTTTATTTAGGGGATGTGAAAACATAGCATGACCCTATTCAAAAGGTTTATTGAAATAACTGTCTAGCAGTTAGTACTGTGTTATCTTTCCACATATGTCTGTGGGAGAGCAAACCCATCAAATTATAACCTATCCTCTCTGTGTTTCTTCCTCCACAAATGAGCAAATATGCACATATTTTCTTATTTCTCTTTTGCTTTACAAAAACAAAACAAAACCATTTTCAGTGGAGGTCACCTTAACCCACTGACTTTGTTCTGGGCGGTGGGGGGGGGGGTTCTAAATCTCAGAAGTCTGAAACATGACATCATTTCTTTTTTCCCTTTCAAGTGTTTGCTGTGGACTAGTTTTGCAAATGTTCCTGCCCTAACCTCAGGAACATTTAAAGGTATTTACCAGGTAGAACATGGGGAGAGCTGCCAGGACTGTGTCCGCTTACAGGGTGTGGATGTGGCCTCACACCAGACAGACTGTTAGATGGTGCCACCTCCAAAATGATGGGTGGTGGGTCCTTGCTGGAAATGGCAGCCACTGTGAGGACTTTCTCTGAACAAACATAATTCATGGCTGCCTAAACTCCTTACTGCTTGTACCAGCCCCTATGACAGCCCTGATAGGTGGGCCTGTCGTTCTGTATGGTTAAGGGAGCATATTTTTAATGGAGACTCTGAATCCCCTACACAGACTCTGCTACTCAGCGTTCTAAAGCCACAACTTTGAACTCCTCCTCTCTCGTACCCTTGTATCTTCACCTAAATTGAAAATGTTGAAAAGGAGGCCCTGGAGGCCTTCCCTTGACATGGGCTATGATTCCATCATTCTTCATGGCTGTGAGTCTTCAGACCACGCCCTGCCACACAACTTTCCAGGCCTTCTTCTCTGAGGGATTAATCATTCTATCCACAGGCTATTTGCTGCTATAAGAGGCCAAGAATAGCTATGAACAAGGCCCAATACAAAATCACAAATTTACTTGGAGCATTATTCATAATGTTTTGAGTTTGTTTTGTAACTCAGTTGCCTGAACCTTGTGTATGATGTCACAATGTTGGGGTTGAAATTGTCTAAACTAAATACAATGGTGGTGCTCATCATATTTTTTTGAGAGTTTAGCTATCAAACAACCTAATTATATGTGTATGTTTTTGTTTAGACTGTGGAAACAGACACTAAGTCCACTGAGCTACAGAAACCAGAGGGAACTCTGTGTTATCCTTTAACCAATATGTAAAGAAGACTCTTATGCAATCGGTTATCTGGGACTTTCTCCCTTGGGGAATTTTGTTGCTCAGCAAGTCACTGTTGGGATGAAGCTTTATGGCCTTGGAGTCCTGGTAGCCATCCTCCTCTGTGAGCAGTATGGCTTCGCCTTTCAGAGGTAACACCAGGGTCCTAGAGCAGAAGCAGCGTCCTGGGCTGGAGAGCAAAGGGTGAAGGCCAGTTTTTTCAGAGACTGAACATTAATTTCGGGATGATGGGGTAGCCCTAGATTTGTTTTCATTTTCTGCTCTCATTTTTCCCAGTGTGATGAGTCTATTCAGTGGCTATGGAGATTAAATAAGTAAATGGAATCTTGATGAATTACTGGGACCTTCCCATATCACATGATTTATATTCTTCCTGTCTGAACACATAGATACAGCAACTAAGTAAATGTACTGTTTATTTTCATCTTGTACATAGGGCACAGGAAGGAAAGGAGGGTAGAAATATAAAATGGATCTGGATCATGCACAGTCAATGAGCATAGAATATGAAAGGAAAGTGAGTTACAGTGGACATATAGGGGATCTTAGCTATTTCCTCATTTGCTTAGTACAGTCATTTTCTATGGATATTTGACCGTAAACTTTTTAGAACACAAATGAATGCATGTTAGAGCATACATAATACATGGAGTAGCAGTTGCAGCATACATGTCATTTTATAATTAACTAGTTAAATCTAAGCTTTAAAATCTACATATATAATCTTGAAATTGTCTTGCTTTTTCTTTGCTTCTATAACCCTTTTCTAGATGTTTTTGAGATAGGTCCTTGTCTCCTCTTACTGAATCTCAGTGAGAAATGACACCTGAACATAGCATAGGTGGGGAAAATTCTACCCATATAACCATTTTCTGTGCCATAAAACCCATAGAATAATCAATCATTCAGGGAATATTGTTTGTCTGGAGCTGTGTTTATAATAGCTGGTTGATTCTGTTTTGTTCAGTGTGATTGTCAAATACCAACAACAAATTTCTTTGTGAAGAGTGGCTGCCAGTGAGTTGATTTAAGGGTCAGAATTGCTAGAACAATTTGTGTGCGTGTATCTATATTTTACTAGTAGTCAAATAAGTATGATTTTAAGATCTTTTTTTGGTTCTAATATTCCATAACTTGGTGATTATCTTTCGTTAAAAGAAAGGCAGGTTGAAGGAACAAATCCAATAACACCATCTCCAAGTTGCTTTTTGTAGAGGTAGCATGACTATGAGGGGAAATGGAGAAATTCTGTTGTTGTTTAGGACTGTGTTTGACTCATATACCAGGCACTTTAACCAAATAAGACTACCTGAAAAATGATTAGCACCTGTACTTACCTGGAGGACCACATGTGAGAGCAGGAAGAATAAGCAGCCTCCTGGGAGACAGAAGCAGCTTTGGCTCTGAACTCTCACCCTTGCATTAGAAATTATATGAGCTGCACCCCAATGTTTCTGAGCTCTGCTTTTTCCAGGAGTAACATACTACTACATCTAAAAGAGAGATCTGATTTCACTCAGAGTGACAGCCTTTGATAAGTCCTTATTTCTGGGGATGAGAATTTAGATCTTTTCTGGAAAGCAGTAACTAGCTGGCATTTCCCAGAAGCCGCTCTTTGTTGCTGTTTTCCGTGACCATTTTCCTAATAACAGTTTGTGTTTGAGCAATCTCCTCGTGGCTGATTTGTAGGTGCATTTTGATAACTCTCATCAGTGAAATGCCCTGGAACCGCGACAGCAAAGCAGCTTTTTAGAAGGCATAAATACCATATGCCGCAGAGGAAGACAGCTGAAGTCCACATTTCCATATTCAGTTGATTTTATGAGGCCAAATACTAGAAATGGTAAAAATAAAATACTAGCAAGAATCTTGAAAACAAAGTAATTAATTGTATTGTGCAATGATTATCAGAGTGCAGCTGGTTAACCCCAGGGCCACTGAGAAAAGAAAAAGGAGAAATATGGATGGAAAAGAGAAGGGTCTAGAGAGGACATATGGAGGGCATCACAGACCACAGCACGTGCTCTTTTTGTTGCCATCATGTTCTGGCTGGGTACCCAATATCAGTTATTCTCTTTCAGGTATTAGTTCCACTGATAACATTATTTGCATCTCAAAGTACAAAACACCAGTGGTCCCCAAACACTGCAAAACATATAACATCACATCCTGGGACTACCCATCTATTTATCTACCATCTACCCATCTAATGTCTATCTACCATCAATCTCTATCAGCTATCAATATGTCTATCTATGCATCTTTAATCTATCATTTGTCTTTATCAGCTATCCATCCATCCATTTATCTATCACTTCTCTGTTAACTATCTCCTTCTGCTATCAATGTGTCTATCCACCTATGTACCCAGGTATCAATCATCCATCTATTCATCCTCTGTGCTTATTTTTTTATTCTATTTTTTAGTGTAAATTTTTTCTCAAATATTTCCTGCACAAATGCTGTAATTATAACTAAAGAGATGCAACAAAATACACCTTTAGTTTCCATCTACATTGCCCCCGGACATTCTGCATAGTGGGGTCAGGAAGGACTTTTCAGCCCACTGTGAAGTAACCAACAGACCTTGGGTTATATGAAAATTCAAAATGTCTTCATTCAGAAGTTAGAATACCATCGCCAGTAAGGGCACTGCTCAAAATTTTCAGTCTTTCTTGTTAAAAGAAAAACTTCAGTTTTATTCAATGAATTGTTAATCGGAGTGAAGAGAGCACCTTGCCAATTCCTCAGCACTGGAAACGTGCTCAGAGAACACCATCCTATTAGATACAGAAAACGGACTTGCAGGAACGGAAGAGTGTGGTTTGTTGACTGCGTGCTATGTCAGCTGGTCGAACCAGGAAGCAGCCTGTGACTGGCTCAACCTCAGCTGCTGTTTGAAGCTGGCTCAACCTCAGCCACTGAAAACGCAGAACCAAAAGCAAACAAGAAAACTCCTAAGTTAGATTTTGTTTGCTTGTTGGCCTGCATACGCAACCAATTTGCATTTTTGTTGCCAACTCTCTCATAAGACTCTGCATGCTTCTTTGTGATTTATCCATAGATCACAAAGAATTGTATCTGTTTCTGGCCAAACTCTCCAGGAAGTAGACTGTGAGATGGAGATTGACATGCAGGCAGTTTCCTGGAAAGAGATATCATCCAGATCTGTGGAGGAAAAGGGAAGTGAGTTTGGGGTGGGAGTGGAGGGGTGTTGAACTGTGATGTTGTCACCACAGATGTGCCGCTAAGATGGGCCACCACCACTTCTCCCTGTCCCCTGACACATTAGTGCACTTTTTAATTTTCCCATCAGGGCTGGTGAGAAGGAAGTTTCAGACCCTTCCCCCAATACACACATTATGATAGCTTTTACTTTAGGAGGAAGGAGCCATGTGGGGGCTATGCCAACTCCCAGTGTGATCATTGTAATTACACTTTTGGAGACTGGGAAAATCCTTACTAGATTTGGGGGTCTAATGCACCCACTTTGATTTGGACTTAGTCTAGGATTCCAGATACCCAGTGTGGACCCTGCAGCCAATAGCCCTCAGAATGCTTGCAGGTCTCCTTTGTGCAGTGTTCAGAGTAGCTTGAGTTAACTCTTGCTGAAAGCAGACAGATTCCTTTAGACCAGTGGCTCTAACCTTCCTTATGCTGCCGTGGTTTAACACAGTTCTTCAGGTTGTAGTGACCCCCAACCATAAAATTATTTCATTGCTACTTCATAATAGTAATTTTGCTACTGTTGTGAATCATAATATAAGCATCTGATATGAGACCCCAAGGGGGTCTCGACCCATACGTTGAGAACTGCTGCTTTAACCACTTCTGACAGTGCTGGAGTGTCTTTTGGGAGTATGTGAATCCTCCTTCTGGCAGGAAAGTCTGGAAACTAGACAACGGATTATGACTTTTGATTGTGGTAGCTTGTCTTCAGTCCCTCTCACTGTTCATCTTTGACTTATCTTGATTGTGAAGATTGAGAAATAGTTTTATTGGCTATTTGTCTGTCCCGGCCCTGGGAATGTTGTGTTCTCTTCACCTCGGAGCTCACTGAAGGTCATGTTTCTCTAGCTACTGCTCCAGCTTTGCTACTCATTAGGGCAATTATGCCCAGCTTGTGGCTGAGATGTGAGCCGTGCCACTCTGAAGCCAACAGTAGAGGAGTCTCATCAGCTCTGTTGCTATCAGGAAGCTCCACTTTGTGGCAGAATGTCTTTTTATAACTTTCTTTCTTCCTTTCTTTCTTCCTTTCTTTCTCCTTCCTTGCTTCCTTCCTTCCTTCCTATTTTCCTTCCTTCCTTCCATTCTTTGTTGTTTGTTTTGCCTTTCTATATAGCCCTGGCTGGCCAGGAACTCACAGGGATCTGCCTCCTTCTGCCTCTCAAGTGCTGGGATTAAAGGCTTGAGCCATCATAACCAACTAGACCTTTCTTCTTAAAACAACTGTAATTATTTGGGCATAGTGGTGAATACTTAAATCCAGCACTAGGGAGGCAGAGGCAGGCAGATTTTTGCAAGTTTGAGGCCAACCTGGTCTACATAGTGAGTTCCACAACAGCCAGAGCTACATAGTGAGACCCTGACTCAAAAAGAAAAAAGAAAAACACTTGTAATATGTACAAGGCCCAAGATTTGATAGCTGCAATGAAAAACAAATCATATTTGCCCTCTCTTTTTCTCAGTCATGCAAGCTGGAATTCACAACATGTTCCTTGTTTATTCATAACTTCCTCCTGCTTTAATACATGATGGTTTTCTTTTCTTTTTCTAAGTTATTATTTCAAAAATAAGACCATATTTCAGTTTGTATCATCTTGTTTCACTCCCTTATAAATCACGCCCCCCCCATTAACTGTTGTAAGTCAAACTCATTCTTTATAACTGGAAAACACCCCAGGATATCTGCAAACATGTTTCCAGTCATTGACACTTTGAATAATGATTCAATACATAGCCTTAAACATATGCCCTTAAGCAGTGGTTGAATGGATTATGCTAAACCTCTCCTGGGGATTGGTATCAAATTCCCCAGGCTATTGTTCTATGAGCCACCTTGCCTTCTTCTCAGTGATGTCCAGAATTCAGAATCACTTTATCAGTTCTCCATTGTCAATCATGCTTCTCTCCTTACTCCTAGTTACTATGAGATGAAGTTCAAATGCTTTCAAAATCTTCTCTATGGAAGGACTTCCTGAGATTTTTCCATCCTCGATGCCTTTTACGTGAGAAAATTTTATGTGGCCCTTGGTATATAGGTCTATAAAATAGGTAAATAAAGCAAAAATGAGACATAAAGAAATTTGTTTTAAAATAATTTTCAATATATATATGTATATATGTATATATATATATATATATTATAATCTTATTGTTTAAAAAAGATGAAAAAATTGCAAACTAATGAGATGGAGGTGTTTACTTTTACATGAAGGAGTAAATGCTGCTGAAACATTGATACTACAGGATACAGAGCATTTTCAACTTTCTCCATGTTAATCAATATTTTGATGTTTTTGCAGTCAATGCTGAGAACTCTGCTTCACATAAATACTCCCTGCAAAATGGGAGACGTATGTTAGAACCATTTCAGAAATTGTTGAGAATTCTGTCCTAACTCCAAGCAAAAATTCATTTAATGGTATTTTGTGAAACTCAACTCAGTGTGACTCAAACAGCAAGTTTTAAAGTCAGATATTCTAACACCATACAATCCACAGGTGACACTAGCATGTGAATGCTGGGGGAGAGAGTTAAAAGACGTACTACAAATTCTTAATTTTCAGTCATTAAACCATGGGTTTTTAACGAGCAGAAACCCCTGCGTGCACTGCAGTTGGTGAAAATAAAATCTGGAATCTGAGTTGAATGTTTAGGATTCATTGGAATTGCGTGGCAGAGTTCAGTGTTGTGTGTTCAGAGCCACAGCTGCAGTGAAGTCATGTCATGCCACACGGGACAGTGCTACCACCAACACCCTGGATTCATCTGGTGTTTGGTTGTAAATTAATTTTTGGTCTTCATGCATTCAGAAACCTTTTTACTGTTGCCAGAGTTTTAGGAGCTCCACAAGTTACAGGGCCTCAGATTCACCCATGGACTAAGAGGTAGAGATTCAGGAGAGGATTAACATAAACTTGTTTCTATTTAGTTACCATCCTTCCCCTTCTCTGAACACCCATGTATTAAACTTGGAAGAAGGAGCAGGTTGCCATTTCTCCAGCAGAGCCCCATGACCTCCTGTGTTCAGCCTCAGTCTATCTTAGCCCAGCATCCCTTCTGTCTTAGTTAGGGTTATTATTGCTGTGATGAAACACTAGGACCCAAAGTAACCTACAGGGGAAAGGGTTTATTTAGCTTTCATATCCCGAGTCACCATCCAACGAGGAAAGCAAAGGCAGGACCTCAAACTGGGGAAGAAACCTGATGCAGAGGCCATGGAGGGGTGCTGCTAACTGGCTTGCTTCCCTGGGCTTGCTCAGCCTGCTTTCTTGTAGAACCCGGGGCCCCAAATTCAGGGGTGACCCCACCACAATGGGCTGAGCCTTCTGCTATCAATCACCAATTAAATAAATGCCCTATATGCTTGCCTACAGCCCCATCTTAGAGAGGCATTTTCTCATTTGAGGTTGTTCCCTCCCTCAGATGACTATAGCTGTGTCAAGGTGACATAAAACTATCCAGAACATTCTCTATGGAGACTTTGCTAGTGACCCCCCCCCTCCCCAAAGCTATTGTAACCTCCTGTATACTTACATAGTTCTTGGTACGGTTCTTTAATAAAATCTTTTATTCAACATATTTTTAGGGAGCTGGAGAATGGTACCGAGCTTAAGAAAACTTGCTGCTCTTGCAGAGGACTGGAGTTTGGTTCCCAGAACCTATTGGGGGCAGTTCACAGCCACCTCCTACTCCAGTTAGAGGAAATTCAGGGCCCTCTTCTAGCCTCTGTTAGGTATACATTTATACACATATACATGCATGCACATACACAGACACACATGCATGCACATATTTACACACACACACACACACACAGAGAGAGAGAGAGAGAGAGAGAGAGAGAGAGAGAGAGAGATGAAGAGATGGAGACACAGAAAATAACTCTTAAAAAATAAGTACTGACAGGAAACTTGCAAAGCAAACACAGAGGAGTTCTTGCTTACCCCTCACCCAGTCCCTCCTAGTGCTTACGTATCTTACATCCTCTTTCCACATTTGTCAAAACCCAGAAGCCAGCGCTGGTTGGCCATTGCTCACTAAACTCCAGGGTTTAAGAAACAATTGTGACCTTTTCTGTCAACATCCTCCTTGTGTTCCAGGCTCTTTGATTACACTAATGATGTCCACTGTCTTTGGTATCATTGCTTCATCCACTTTGCCCAGGTTTTTAGTTATCTCATGCAGAGGGTATATCTGTTGCTTATTTCTCCAACTGAAACCAAAGTCTAAGTTTTTTCAAAATTGTTTCATTATTGTTACTGCTATTTTGAGGTAGTGTTTTCCTGTTACTTCAGACTGGCCTTGAACTCATGAAGGCCAGGCTTGCTGAGAACCTGCAATCCTACTGTCTCAGCCTCCTTGATGCTAGATTGCTGGCTTATACTAGCACACCCAGCTCTAAAGATTAGTTTTAAATAAAGCAAGGAGGAAAATATTTTTCTAATTTAAAAAGCATATATTTTTGTATTTCAATGATAAACGCCTCTCCTCTGGAAAATGTCCCTGACATAGCTTGATTTTAATTTAAATATCACAGTTCTTTCAATGTTACCCAGAGGATACTATAAACTTGATAACCCTATTGTAGGTAACATATGCCCTATACATGTACAATTCCCCAACTCCTGCTTTCTTTTTCTCTTTATATAATTTTTTCCTACAGAAAAATTGGATAGTGAGCTGCAGAAATGAATCTACTAAGAAATCCTCCCTCTCTGAGAAAATGGTTTACAAACATAAAGAAACTTGATATTGAATCACACTAAATATTTCCCAGTTTGTACAAGGAAGGGAGGGAGGGAAAGGGGGAGGGGAAGAAGAAAGAAAGACATATAGAATAAAGAAAGGTAAAAAGCCCAGAGGCAAAACATAGAAGAAGAGAAACAGGTTAATTTAAGTTAGAAAAGCTGGCTACAAACAAGCCAAGCTAAGACCAGGCATTCATAAGTAAGAATGAGTCTCGGCATGTTTATTTAGGAGCTGGGTGCTGGGCCCCCAAGAGGTAAAAAAAGAAAGAATAAGAAAAGAAAAGGTGAAAAGCAAAGGTATTGGATGTCTTTGAGAGAGGAGGGAACAGCACACAGTGACCTCCAAGGGATGTCAGTAAAGTCTCTCTGTGTCTTTCTCTTCCTGTGTGGGTATGGGTGGGACTTGAGGTGCTTTAGACAAAATCTCACTATATAGCTTTGGCTGTCTTGGAACTTTCTCTGTAGCCCAGACTGGTCTCAGGATCATTTACCCTCAGCCTTAAGGCTGCTTGGGATTACAGGGGGCATCCTCACACACATGTGGATATCACATGCCCCTCTGTGCCTGGCTTATTTCACGTAACATAATCTGTTATCATACACGACAGGATTCATTCTTTTTAAAACTGTTTGCCTTTAGGCTTTTCATTTATTATATGAATGCTTTGCCTGTATGTATGTATGTGTACCATGTACATACCTGATGCTTAAGGAGATTGGAAGTGGGCATTTTATCTTCCAGATCTGGAGTTAAAGATGGTTGTGAGATGTGTGGGTGCTGGATCCTCTGCAAGATGGTGCTCTTAACCACTGAGCCATCTGTATGGCCCTCAGATCATCTCCCTTTTAAAAGACTTGCTTATTTTATTTTATGTGTATCAATGTTTTTCCTGCCCTGTATGCATGTGCACTGTGTTCATGGCTGGTATCTGAAGAGGTCAGAAGATGACAGATGCCCTAGAACTACAGTGACAGATGGTTGTGGGCTGACATATGTGTGCTGAGAATTGAACCTCAGCAAGAGGTTCAAGGTCCTCAACAAGAGCAACAAATGTGATTAGCCACTGAGCCATCTCTCCAGCCCCAAGGATCTCATTCTTTTTAATGACTGGATATTATTCCATTGGGTGTGTCTGTGTATTTATCAGTTTTCTTTATTGACTTATCCACCGATGGACACTCAGATTGACTCCACAGCAGTGGAGTATTGCAACAAAAAATGAGAATGTGCTCGTCTCTCTGACATCATTTCCCCATGCCCAGCAGGATTGTCAGATCATATTCTAGCTCTGTCTGTAATTTTTTGAGCAAACTTTGTGCTGCTTGCCATAATGGCTCTACTAGTTCATACTCCCAGGGACAGCAAAGTAGAGTTCTGCCTTCTTCATGTGCAGAAAGGAGAGGAGAGAGGCCAGTGCTCTGTGAACATGAGAGCAGTGGTTTTGTGGTTGGCTGGGAGTACAGACCATGAGAGATGCTGTTGGCCTTTCACATGGGGTCTGCCTTTGTGCTAATCAATACTCAAGTGCTTCTGTCTTATAATGACCTCAAAGCTCCTTCAGCAAAACGTCATGCCATTTTCACATTGCTATTTAACCCAAACCCTGTTTTTCTCCCCAGTGGCCAGGTTTTATCTGCTCTTCCCAGAACCTCTAGGCAAGTTCAAGTTCTTCAGAATGTTACTACAACCTATGAGGTAATAACCTTACTTACATTTACATTAGCTTTATTGGGGGAGGGGGTCTGTGTGCATTGTAAAGTGTGTTCTCCCTCCAGTCTATCTATACGTAGCTAGCCGTAACCACGTGACCTTTTGTTTCCAGAATCAAACCTTTATCTGTGTGATTAGCTTTTCAGCCACTTTCATGGTAGGTCTCAAAGCTGTAAGCATGTAAGCACAAAGCTGTTACTGTATCAGAAGTTTGGCAGTGTTTTGGTTGCAGAACAGTGGTTCTTAGCCATGAGTAGGCACATAAGCCACAAGGGAACATTTATTAAATTGCCTTGTTCCTGGATTCCATCTCCCCAGGAAGTCGGAGGTGTGGAAGCCTGGCAGGCAGCTGAGAATGAAGGAACCTGTGTTTGTTAGTGTTCTCTAAGGAATAGAGGTCAGATCAGTTTGGAGGTGCAAGTGGTAAGGGAGTGCTTGCTAAAGAAAAAGGGAGGGAGAGAGCTGGAGGTGGTGGAGGTACCTTCAACTGGGGTAGGGGTGGGGTGGGGGAGAGGATGACTCTGCAGGAAGGCAGGTCCTGATGGCGGCTCTCAGACTTCAAAGCAGTTCCCAAGTCAGGCAGGGGCAGCTGTGAGTACTTCTTTAACAAAATCCTTTTTTACAAGAATCCTCTGTGAGGAATGGTTCTGCAAGAACACACTCACGGTGTGCAGGTGGCATGAGTAACATGGGCAACCTGGCAGGTGTCACACGGGTGGCCACCAGGAGTCACCTGTGCCTCTGGCAGGAGCAGAACTGAGTGGTACATGTTCATGGCTTTTTCACAAGATAAAAATGAAACAACTCCAAAGAAAGGATCAAAAAAAAAAAAAAACTCAAAATTTATTTCACTTTATTCTGTTCACTTATCCTTTAATTTCACCGTTTAGTTAGCTTACAAAAAAGCCGAGTTTTGTTGTGACATTTTCATACATAGTTCACAGTACCATGATCTCATTTTAGAGAAACTAGCTATGATCCTTAATTGGCTCATATTTACAAAGAAAATAATAACATCTGCCTGGTTGATATCAAAGTGGTATTCTAATGAACAAAGGAAATGAGTCTGAAAGCACTTTGGAGAAGTGCTGTAAAATGAGAAAAATGTACATATTCAGAGGCATTAGATGAAAGAAAGAGACATTAGTGTGATAATAATATCAAACACATGGAATCTTTCTTTCTTTTCTTTCTTTTTTTTTTTTTTGATTTTTTTTTAAAGACAGAGTTTTCTCTGTGTGGCTTTGTAGACCAGGCTGACCTCACACTCACAGGGACCCACCTGCCTCTGCCTCCTGAGTGATGGGATTAAAGGTGTGTGCCACCACCGCCCAACTGAAACATGTGGAATCTTTACTAAGCAAAATCAATGTGTAATCAAACTTCCTTCCTAGAGAGAATTCCATTTTTCTTTTAAACACCTGAAATACATATCCAGCTCCTCAGTAGAGTCATAAATGTACTCATCTTCTCATCAATATTAAGTGTCTGGGGTGTTCCAGGGCCTATTTGGCCACTAGAATAACTGCGAATAAAAAGCACTTCCGGCCAGATGAGTGTTTCTAGTACTGTTTGTGGGGTGCAGACTGTGGCTGAGAGGTGTCCTTGCCACAGCCCTTTTAGGGATACGGCTTTCAAGGGCCTAGCTACAGATGCAAATGGTGTGAACAACTCTGCATTCAATTTACCAACTTCCCCCTGGAAACTGCAGGTCGTTCTCTGGCAGCCAGTGACCGCCGAATTCATCGAAAAGAAAAAAGAAGTCCATTTTTTTGTGAATGCGTCTGATGTGGACAGTGTGAAAGCCCATTTAAACGTGAGCAGAATTCCATTTAGGTGGGTGTCCTTTGCTATGTCCATTCAACAGCTGTGATAAACACCTACTGTGTGTTTGGCCAAGAAATGGTATAATTGCTTTGTGGGAAAATTGAGTATACTAAAAATGTGGTGGTATGGTAGTCTCTGAGAGACTGGGGACAAGACCTAAGGCCCAACTCAGTGACAAGTGGTTTAACCATTTATCACTTCAGTCCTTTGTTTGTACTGGGACTCAGTGGTCTTCAGAACCTCCCCTTCATTCTCCAGGCCTAGACCTAAGGGACAAAACTCATTCACTGTGGGAATTTGTCTCCTTGTTTCACTAAAAAAAGAAAAAGAAAAAGTTGACTAATGAAACCCAAGGAAAGAAGGAAGGTGTATTAGTCAGGGTTCTCTAGAGGAACAGAACTGATAGAATAAATAAATAAATACATAAATACATACATACATACATACATACATACATACATACAGACAGACAGACATACAATGGTGGTCATACATGAAAAGGATTTTTTATTTACTTTTATATGCATAGGAGTTTTTCTTAAATGCTTATCTGTGTGCCATGTGTGTCCCTGGTGCCCACAGAGTTAGAAGAGGATATCAGAGCCCCTAGAACTGACATGTCCTCGGTATAGTTGGGAATCCTGAAGAAGTAGGCTCTAATACCTGTGAAGAAATGCCTCAGCAGCAGGACAAATGAACTTGCCAGTGAGAGTGTGAACAAGGAGGCAAAAAGCAAAAGCTACTTTCTCCCATGCCCTTTATATAGGCTGCCGCCAGAAAGTATAGCCCAGATTTAGGGTAGTCTTGTGCTCTCAAATGATCCAGATTTAGGATTAGTCTTCCTGTCTCACCTGATCCAATTAACCAAAACTTCCTCACAGATATGCCCAGCTGCTTTGGTTTTTAGTTAATTCCAGATGCAGTCAAGTGGACCAGCAAGGATAGACATCACAGGAGGGTTCGTTATTGCACATAGTCCATCATGGCAGGGAAAGCATGATGGCAGGGACCAGTCATACTGTAGCCAGGGTCCTGCTGTGCAGTCACACTGCATCCAGGGTTCTACTGTGCAGTCATGTGCAGTCACACTGCATCCAAGGTCCTACTGTGCGGTCACACTGCATCCACGGTAGGGAAGCAGGACAATGAGCGCGGCCTCTGGCTCCCTCTCTCCTTTGTATTCAGTACTGCATCCCCGTCCATGAATACTGCCACCTACATTTAAAATGTGTCTTCTTCCCTGGGTTAACCTAATCTAGAAAATCCCTCACATGCCCCAAAACCCTTATCTTCAGTGATTCTAGAGCAGAGGTTCTCAACCTTCTTGACACTGCAACCCTTTAATACAGCTCATCATGTTGTGGTGACCCCAGTCATAATTTTCATTGCTATGTCTTAACTGTCATTTTGCTAGTTATGAATCGTCATGTAAATGGTATCTGACAGGCAACCCCACAGGGGGTCGCAACCTCACGTTGAGAACTGCTATTCTAGAGGCTGTCAGGTTGCCGATATGAACCCTCACACTGTGATAGACTTTAGGCTATGTCTTGGAAAAGGAGACTAATTTGTCACCAATTCTTTCTTCTCAAGGTTAGTGAATGTTTCTGAAGATCCAGCCCTCAACATGAAAGCTGGCCTGACTTTGCAGTTAGTCACCTCTGTGATTTTGTACAAATTACAAATGTACACTGGAGATAAATACAAATGTACACTAACCGTGTATCCTAAGTGATTTCAATGGGGTTTTAAAGGCTGTGTACTGAGTGTTGTTCAATGTCCATTTCCTCTTTTAGTTTCTCTAACTTTTTCCTCTCCTGATCCTCTGCCTGGAACCAGGTCCCCACTGCTGTCCTTTTGTATTTCTTGAGACCAGGGTCTTATGTGTGCCGATGAATATCCTCTATAATATGCTGGGAGAATTATTGATGATTTATAAGAGATATTTACTGCCTCCTCTGGGAACTCAGCTGAGCCACCCCACACATGGTTTCACTTATCATTATAGAACTGTGCAAGATACATGCTTTTCCCAGATACAGATGGAAAAGCATTTAGGGACTCATTTTATTTTGATTTTATTTGATGTGCATGGGTATTTTGACAGCATGTATGTGTATGTCTGCGCTCCACCTGTGTACAGTGCCCACAGAGGCTAGACGAGGGCATCAAATCCCATGGACTGGAGTTAGAGTTGATTGTGAGCCACCATTTGGGTACTGGGAGCTGAAACTCAGTGTGGTGCAGGAGCAGCCAGTGCTCTGCACCGTCTCTCCAGCCCTGGATTGTTTTTAAAGCTTACAAGGAAACTTCCCAAAGTCAGCCAGTTGAAACATGGTGGAGGCAGAAGTCAAACTCAAAACATTCAGACATCAAAGTTTCAGCTTTTAGCCATTGGCCTAGATAAAGAAACTTTTACCAATATGAGAACTAATTCCAAATTATTCATCCCAGCTGATTGATAATTCTGGCAAAGTACTTGCCTAGTTAGTAGAGTAAGCAAACTAAGAGCCTCAATTTTATCTTTCCCCACATTTTGATTTGCAAAATATTTGATCATCTTTCATCCTGCAGAACATCTGGGATATATCAGTGAAACACAAGAAAGAAAGGCAGTCTTCCTCTCCTGTTCTTCACTGAAAACTGAGATATTGTTCTGGATCGAAGTGGGTGTCCATCAATCTCTATATCCTAGTCAGATTTCTGTTTTGTGAAAAACACCAAGACCAAAGGCAACTTGGGAAGGAAAACGCTTATTTAATCTTACATATTCTAGTTCATCATTGAGGGACATTAAGGCAAGAACTCAAGATGGGAGTTTCAAGCAGAAACCACAGGAGAGTGCTGCTTGCTGGCTTACTCTTAGGCTCACATTCAGATACCTTTCTTAAACAGCGCTGGACCATCTGCCTAGGGGATAGTGCCACCCATGGTGGGCTGGGCCTTCCTGCCTCAACCAGGAATCCAGAAAATGTTCCACAGACTTGCCCAGAAACCTGTCTGGTGAAGGAAGTTCTTCAGTGGAAGCTCCCTCTTCCCAGGTGTATCTAGTTGACAACCAAGATCAGCCATCATGGATTTCTTAGAAAACACACTGAAGAATCACAGTCAAGAAATACAGATTTTGGTAGAGTAGGGTAAGATCGGGCAGTCCTCATGCCCTCTCCCCAGGGTCCACAGGACTCTGCTAAAGAGGTTTGTGGAGTCATCTTGACTCCATATATGGCTGTGTTGTTTTACTTGATGAAGTGCTCATGAGACCCACTGGCAACTTTCTGCCAAGCTCACATACTGTGCCTGCAGTAGGCCATGTGGGAAAGCCATCACTGTGCCTGGAAACCACTCACCTTCTGCTTCCTCAACAGCGTCCTGATGAAGGATGTGGAGGACCTAATTCAGCAGCAGACCGCCAATGACACCATCAGCCCCCGAGCCTCCTCATCATACTATGAGCAATATCACTCTCTAAATGAAGTAAGTCACCATGCCATTCCTCAAAGGTTCTGTTTTCATTAACCAGCATTGCCATTTCAACCACGAAGAATTATCAAAGAATCATAACCAACAGAGGAGGGGTTTTGTTTGTTTTTTTAAATCACACTTAGGTTGATTAATGGTGGCAATTCATCCCTTTTGTTGATGTCTCCCTGGGAAGGTTGCCCCCTCTAGTTGATAAACTGGCTTTACAACAGCATGCTTATCTATGGCTAAGAGTATCTCACACTTTTAGAGATAATACTGAAGAAAATATTTGTTACGATAAATCTTTCCACCAAAGCCATCCGAGCCCTATTGCCACGTGGGTGGTCTCCACCAGCTGCCCGAGGTTCTGCCTGCCACATGGATGGACAAAAGACAGAGACATATTAGGTACAAAGCTGCTTGGCCAATGACTAGGATTCTCATCTGCTAGCTCAGTCTTAATTATCATACATCTATATATTTTATAAGACTTATCTTATCGGATGCCTTATTGGTGTCCCTCCTTGCTGGTGGATCACATTGTGCCGCTGGAGCAGGAGCGGAGAGGAAAAAAGACACGCTTCCTGTTTCTCCTTCTTTAAATATGAGTCTCCTTGCTATGTCACTTCCTGCCTGGATCACCACTTATCTACTACATTTCCCAGAATCCTCTTTGACTCCTAGTCCGGTCTAACTTGCTGTCTCATTGGCCAAACAGTATTTTATTTAACAATCAATAAGATAAACATACACAGTACATTCCCCATCAAATATTGAATGCTAAGAATAACAGAAAATAAAGAATAGGACTGCTACACTGAAACTGCCACAAAAATTACAATTGCTCATGTCTCTTTGGACCATTACCTGAAATTTATTCTTAATGAATAATCACCCGATTACCTCACAGAATTAATGTGATATGTTCACTTATATTGATTATGCTGCAAATGAATACATTTTATCCTTCTGAATAGCAATCTTTAAGCCATGTCTTTGACTGGGTGCCTAAAAATTGGCAGGGACCACATCTAAGCTCAGGTAATAAGAATCAATTTTATATTTCATCTTTGAAATCATCTGGTTCTTTCCAGGTGGTTAATCCAGAACTCAGTCTGCTTCTAGATCCTATTTACCTGGCCAATTGATGTGGGCATTGGATTTTTACACCCCACATTATTTCTCTTTAGATCTTAAATATATCTATTATACTTAGGCCACTTCTTTCTAGCACCTATACCAGCAATATGTGACAAACTTGATGCAGAGAGGCTAGGTAGCAGTGGCTCAAAAAACAGAAGATGAACTCGACGAAGGGACACCACTGTGCTGAGTTTGATGGGCAAATGGAAAATGCCTTAACCAGGAGGATGTCAAAATACACTGTTTAAGTATTTTGTTCCAGAAAGTTATGTTGTCTTACCATATTCCCATGAAAGACTTGGAATGGCAAACAAACTCCGTGACTGCATTCATTTGCTAGAGATTCCATAGCAGAATGACACAGACTGCAGAAGTTTGTTTGATCATATTTCTGGAGGCAAGAAGCCGGAGATCAAAGTGTTGACAGTCTTTGGTTTGCTTCTGAGGCCTCTTTCTTTGGTTTATAGACAGTTGTTTCCTCATCCTCAAATGTTGCTGTAGTTTTCTTGTTCTGCCAGGTCCCACTGCCGCTTCAGCCCCCAAATAAACACACAGATATGCTATATTAATTATTAAACTGTGAACCAAATACTAGGGCTTCTTATTGGCTATCTCTGTCTTAATTATTAACTCATTTCTACTAATGTAACTATTTCCACATAGTCTTATCTTATCAGAGAATGGTCCAGACCTCTTACTCCTTCCTCTGCTACATGGTGTCTCTTTTTGGCGGGCTCCATCTGCCTGTCTTTCCCAGAATTCTCCTCACCTCCTAGTCCTGTCTATCTTCCTGCCTCTATTGGCCAAATAGTGTTTTATTCATCAACCAACAAGAGAAACATATATACAGAGTGACATCCCCATCACTCAAATGGTGTTCTAGTTTTCTTTCTACTGCTGTGATAAGCACCATGAGAGAAAAGACATCTCAGAGAGAAAAGGGTTTATTTGGTTTGTGTGTCCTGGGTCTCGGTCCATCAGGTAGGGAAGTCAGGGCAAGAACACAAGGCAGGAACCTGGAGGCAGGAACTGAGCCATGGATGGATGCTGCTTTCTGGCTTATTCTCTATGGCTTGCTTAGTCTGCTTTCTTATGCCACCAAGATCCGTTCACCTACCTTGGGGTAGCACTAGCCCCCACTGTGCTAACCTGGTCGTGTGTGTGTGTGTGTGTGTGTGTGTGTGTGTGTGTGTGTATTCCCATGCATATGCATGTATGTTGAGGCCAGAGGTCTACATTTGTTATCATCTTCCATTGCTTTTCACATTATTTTTTGAGACATAATCTCTGAACCTATAGCCCACTGCCTCAGCTAAACTGGCTGGCCAGCGAGCTCCAAGGATCTGCCTGACTCTGTCCCTCCCAACATATCCTCCTTCTCCAGTGTTAGAATTTCACATGCATACTGTAGTGACCAGGTTTTACACAAGTGCTGGGGATCTGAACTCAGGTCCTCAAGCTTTCACAGTAACCACTATACAACAAAAATCCCCAGCCCTGAATTTCTTTTTTTTTTTTTTAAGCCTCAATGCTAGACCTGGTAGGAAGACTCCACACAAAGTCCAATGTGATAAGCCTCTAGAATGGGGCATGGTAGTTCAAGTACTCAGAAGGCTGAGGTGGGGAGATCAAGTTCAAGCCCAGCCTAGGTTACATAATAAGACCCTGTCTCAAAAAACAAACAACAAAAAGCCCAAGGCATAGCCCAGTGGTGGAGTGCTTGTCTATCACATACAAGGGCCTGCATTTGATCACCAGCACTAGAAAATGAATAAACAATAATATCTGGGCTGGAGAGGTGGCTCAGCAGTTAAGAGTACTAACTGCTCTTCCATTGGACCTGGCTTCAATTCTGGCACCCACATAGTGGTTCTGAAACTCATTTCAGAGGATCCAATGCCCTCTTTTGGCCTCCACCAGCACCCAAGTGGTGCACAGACATACACCCATAGCCAGAACATAAAATTCAGCCAATAATTTCCAAGACAACATTTTAAAGATTAACTCTTTGTTCTATGCTTCTTAGAGCCATTTCACTTTTCCCCTAATACTTAGAACTCAGCAAAAGTCTGGTTTTATTTCTTCTCAGCAGAGGAAATATCCCATCCCAAGTGTTTTCAGTTCTCCCATATAAAGAAAATGGAGAGGAATCTCCTGTCTGCAAGGAAGCTGCCTACCCCCTATGATCAGGGATATCCTGTGAACTTGTCCTGTGACTAACCTGTGGTTTCTCTGCTCATAGATCTATTCCTGGATAGACGTTATAACCGAACGGTATCCTGACATGCTCCAAAAAATCTACATTGGCTCATCATATGAGAAGTACCCACTTTATGTTTTAAAGGTATGTAAGGGGAGTTGCTTAGAGGGGGATATTAAGTATGCAATGGTGTTTGCTATAGCTTAGTTCTACTGTTCTTTGAGTTCTGGAAATATTTTTATTTCGGGTGAATCTTAACTTTAATATCCAACTTCTTAGGAATAAATAGCCTTTATTTTTTTCTTGAGTACTGAGTTTATGAGTGAAAAACACCTCTAGAATCAAACTCCCCTGTGTTCATGTTACATTAGACAACCAGATAAGCCACTTTTTGTGGCTTTCAGTGGTCACACTGATAAAATGATGGAGGTAATCTGGATTACTCCTCAAGTCCTTGTTTTATTTACATCAGTACTGTCTCAGATTGGCTAGGAGAGATTGTGTATCTTGAGTTTTTCTTGGACAAACAGTAGCCCAGCTCTTGAAACCAAAGTGGGAGCTTAACCACCATCCAGGTAAATGCAGGGAACAGGGCAATACTTCAGTGACTGCCTTGGTCAGCACCCATGTGGCTATGTACTTCCAGTTGCAGAATCTTGTGGAAGAGCATTTGATTTTTAAAAATTAGTTAACTACAAAAATAATTTCAGGATTGTAGTGAAAATTCTAGTTGGTCTTAATAATGAATCAGATATCAGGGTAAAGGCTGAAACCTCAGAGAGACAAAGGAGCAAGACACAGCCACATCTTAACCCCACCGACTTCCCAGCTGAAAAGGCGAAAGCTCCTGTCTCCACCCTGCTTTATCACTTCCTCTCTCTACCCAGCCATATCATTTCCTGTTTCCTCCTCCCAGGTGCTGGGATTAAAAGTGTGTGCCACCACTGCCTGGCCTCTATGGTTAACTAGGGTTTCGCTCCGCACTCTGATCTCCAGACAAGCTTTATTTGTTAGAGCACAAACAAAATATCACCATTCAGGATATGTAAATAAGGGAGAAAAGTTATAAAAATTAACAAATACTTAGAGTAACCAAAACAAGAGGAAAAGAGGGTTAAATATTGCCATCTATACCATTCTAGGAGGGCTTCTTTTCAACCCTGTAGTCACCAATATCCAAATAAAGGAGAGTAAAATGTCCCTGGTTGAGGTATCTTCTTTGAATAAACTCTGTGAAGGGGAGATCAGTGAATGTGAATACTAGAAAAGTCATAGGCATCACGACCATGACAACTTTTACTGGGCACACTTTCCAATTACGTAGTTCTGTTTTCTCCCACACTCTCTCCCTTAAAAAAAATTAAGAAAATGCTCTGCAGAAATGTAATTAATAGAAAAATACACTTGCTTTGGTGGTGAGGAATTGGCACATAATCACTTGTAATAGGTAAGCGTTTACACTGGCTCTCAGGCAAGACTTTGAGTCAGGATAGCTCGGGTTCCATCTGTCCTGCCCAGGATCTTCCGGTGCACACTCGAGACAGAGATGAGGCATATGGGTTTCTTTAGTGATTCGGTTAGTTAATAGGTTAGTTCCATGGGAACCGTCCTGGCATGCCCACCCATGACATTTTCTTGCTTTGTGTGCATCTTGCAACCAGTGTCTGGAGCTGAGTGGACACATGGGGAAATCATCCATCCTGGTTGGTTACATCATGTTTTACTTAACTGAGAATGTGCACCCAATGTAAGTGTCTGCAGACCCAAAAGGCTTGCGCCTTTTCAGCTGGGAAGTCGGTGGGGTTAAGATGTGGCTGTGTCAGTGCTGAGCCAACAATTTATCCCTAAAGCTGCAGTGTGCAAATATGAATGAATGAATGAATGAATGAATGAATGAATGATCAAATAAGGCAACTAACCTGAACAAGTAAGGATTTTCAACAGACTAGATGGAATCATCCACAGCTGTTTGGTAAGATGATTTGAGTATCAGTGGCCATTTATCTTTTTTCCTTTATTAAGATATTGTATTAGGAAAGGCACCTTAGTTACGGTTTCTATTGCTGTGATGAAACACCATGTCCAAAAAGTAAGGTGGGGAGGAAAGGGTTTATTGGACTTACACTTCATGTTGCTGTTCATCATTGAAGGAAGTCAGGACAGGAACTCAAACAGGACAGGAACCTGGAGGCAGGAGCTGATGCAGAGGCCATGGGGGGAGCTGCTTACTGGCTTGTTTCCTTTGTCTTTCTCAACCTGCTTTCTTATAGAACCCAGGACCCCAGCCCAGGGATGGCACCTCCTCCATCAATCACTAATTAAGAAAGTGCCCTACAGCTGGATCTTATGGCGACATTTTCTCAATCTATGTTCCCTCCTTTCGGATAACTTTAGTTTGTGTGTCAAGTTGACAAAAGACCAGGCAGCACAGAAACCTTCCCAGCAAATGACAATATTCACTCGCTTTTCTTCTTGTTTTTTGGTTACTCTACATATTTGTTTGAATTTATATTTCTTCTCCCTTTTTCTCTGTCCTGAATTTATTTTTGTAACTAATTTTAAGGACTCAAATAAATGTGTGGGTCTGTGTTGTTGACTCAGAGGACCCAGATTGGGTTCACAGCACCCACACAGTGGCTCACATCCATCTGCAACTCCCAACCCAGGGGATTCAAGATCCTCTTGTGGCCTCTGATAGTACCACACACACACACATGGAACAGACATGCATGCAGGAAAAACCCACACACATAAAAGAAAAATAAGGAAAAACATTTTAGATCAAATAAGTTATGACTGATTTTGGAAATGTTCTTGAGAATTCTTTTTCATTGATTATTTCATGCATGCATATAACATGTTTTGGTCAAATCCACCCCTCCCTCTCTTTCAATTCTCCCTATATTTCTCCCTTCCCTCTTAGCTTCATTCTCTCTCTCTCTCTCTCTCTCTCTCTCTCTCTCTGTGTGTGTGTGTGTGTGTGTGTGTGTGTGTCACTTAGTGCTGCCTATATGTGCGTGGACACAGGACCAACTACTGGAGAATGATAGATTTTCAGGGGCCTCATTCCTGAAGAAAACCTATTCTCTCGCCCTCAACATCCATCAGTTGCCTCCATCCGTGCTGGGATTGACCTTGAGAATCGGTCTAAAAATGTCAAAGGTTGTCACTGTGTAAAAACTGATTCTCCTTGCTCCACAGAGTTGACACATTGCACTAGCCCTCCACCCCTGTATGTCACATGAAAGGCCCTGTCCCCAGTCTAATAGGATCAGTTTTATGAACCAACTGGTAATATGCTTATCCTTTGGGGGGTGAAAGAGTATATGCTTAAAAAGTGTACTCCATAGGGAAATTTTGAGAGCGTTTGTATTCCCAAAGTCTCTATCCTTACTGCAGTAGCAAGTGCTACTGCCCACAGCAAGTAGCACTTGCCCCTGAGAAGTAAAGACATACTTAAAAGAACAGTCTCCTCTCCTCTTTCCATCTCATGCCTAAGTTGTGCAGGGGCAGGAATCCTGGCTTCATCTTCATTCCCAATTCACACATGCATCAAACCTAAGCAACCACCCTTCATCTCGCCAGCTTTTGAATTTGCTCTGAGAACTTTCCGAGTAACACAGAGAACAAAAGTCCATTGAAAGGATGGAGTAAAAGAAAAGACAGGGTGGGGATAGAGTGTTTGTTTATTATTTATTTATTTGTGTTGTGCAGGTTTCAGGAGAGAAAAAAACAACCAAAAATACCATATGGATCGACTGTGGAATTCATGCCAGAGAGTGGATCTCACCTGCTTTCTGCTTGTGGTTCATAGGCTACGTAAGTACTTCGCATAGGCCAGTGTTTCAACTGTGTTATGATTCAGCTGCATTTTCCCACGTCACATTCTAGAATTCTTGGTTCAAGTTTCACAAGTGAAGCTTGTAAAAATTCAGTGTTCACCCTGAATGATGATTAAGAAACAATATTCTATTACGCAATAAGCTTCCTAAAGTAGAAAAAAATACTTGAAGCAATTATCTGTTTGGCCCTCATCATCATCATCAATCATCATTTTGGTTTGAACTTTCTGGACATCTTTTGCCACATCCCACCCTTGGGAACTGAACATGGGGCCCACACTTACAGGTCAGATAATGCTTTTGCATGTGTCATAATAAAGAAGTCTGTCCTTGAAGAAGGGATTGGCATTAAGAAAAAGCCATATATAAGACAAAGAGTATGCCATAAAAATGATAAGTAGGAAGGCTATAAGCCTCCACAATGAATAAAAACAGTAAGATCATGCTTCAAGTCCTACAAAATGGGCATGTGTACTGTCCATTTTGATTAATACAAGGAGCCATGTACTAGAAAATTCAAAATGCATACCCTTCTGATAACATTATTTCACAAAGACTGTAACATGAAATAGATCAGTCAACACATTAAGGCATCACTGATTAGATCTCTCTAAACAAATGGAACTCATCAAATGTAAAGCTATTTCTACCTGCACTGGGTCCTAACAAATGTGACACTCCTAACCACTGTCACCTGCAATACATGTTCCCTTCTCCAATAAATTTGAGTTTGTTAGGCATCTCAGGGACAACTGTTCCTGGGGAGATGTGAATAAATGTCTATACAATCCAGAAATCGAAGCAACCACAGACCAATGTACGGACACTGCTCAAGAACCAGTGAGTTCAGTGGGGCTACTTATGGGACTGTGGGTAAAGGGTTACTTCCAGAAACAGGAATGACACAAAGGCAACTGTTAGCACTGAAAGCCCACCCCAGCACAGCTGACAGCTCATGCAAGCTGGAACCATAGTTCTCACTGTGCAGCTCTGCAGGTTGAAGAGTGTTTCTTGTGGGCAGTTTGTCTAGTCTGATCGTCATCCAGGTAGTTCATCTGTTTTCTGTCTCTCCAGAAATCCTTGATTCTTGGAATCAAGATTCCAAGGGACCTTGTGTGTCTGATCAGTTTCAGGCTTTTCCTGAGACGCCTGAGTTATCAAAATGCTAGGATTAAAGGTGTGTGCCACCATCACTCAGCTCATTTTCTTAATCCTCCTCCTCCTCCTCCTCCTCCTCCTCCTCCTCCTCCTCCTCCCTCATCTTCTTCCTCTTCCTCTCTTCTTTTTTTTAAAGATTTATTATTTATACAGAGTTCTGCTGCATGTACACCTGCAGGCCAGAAGAGGGCACCAGATCTCATTATAGATGGTTGTGGGCCACCATATGGTTGCTGGGAATTGAACTCAGGACCTCTGGAAGATCATTGCTTCTAACCTCTGAGCCATCTCTCCAGCCCTACTTGAGTCTTCACAATAACTCTCCTTTTAGAACTTCCTGGATTTCAAAGAGCTTCTAAGGATACTGTTACCCAGCAGCACTGCAGCATCCCTGAGCCTACTGAACAGTTTCCACTGACCATTGAACCTATCTGAACCAAATGAGACTGGTTCCAGCTCAGAAATATTCATAAGTTGTCCATGAGAACCTAGACTCTGGAAAGATGGGGAACAAACTGTGGCTTGATGATTTTACCATCAAGTATTTCATCTTAAGAGTATTTGATACTTTTTTACTTGAGTCAATAATCATATCAGTGATTCCCACTGAGTGAGTGGGACATTCCAACCTGGTCTGCCTAAAACAAACCCAGGTCACTGACTCTTGAAATACTTCAAACCTCTGCAGGAGGAAAAGTCAGTTTGAGTACTTTCAAATAGTTTGAGTGGGGTTGAGGCTGTAACTCAGTGGTTAAATATTCCAATAGCCCTAGGTTCAAAACATGTTTTGCCTGGGCAGATTCCACTTTTAAAAGTCACTAGAGTCAAAGGGGAATCGACACCTTAGCTCTTAAGACTTTTGCTTTCTCCTAGGCCTTAATAAATATTGTAAAACCCATACAGTCCAGTAAAGGTATTAATTCACTTTGAGAAGCCCAGGAGCAGTCATGCCCGTCTCTTTGCTTCTCACTAATTCTCGGGAGGCCCCACGGGATCCCTTCTATTTCTGCAGAAGCTGAGACTGGTGTGTTCATGTCTGCATCAGCACAGCTGAGCCCCAGCTCATGGTCTGGTCATCACAGTAGCCCAGTAAATACACACTGAGCACCACACTTCACTCGGTGCTTTCTCCAGCAACTCACTCCTGTACTCGTTGACTCTTCCATAGAAATCAACCTGGCAGCAGTGATTAATATATAAGTGTTTTACTTCTGACAACTATTATGCTTCTGAATTCTCCTTCCTACAGAGATAAACGCATAGGAAGTGTGTGTGTGAGGGTGTTGATGTAATTGCTCAGCACAATTATGTAGATCTACTGTGTTTATAAGTTTTCATATATGAGTTGTATTGGCATCATTTTCCAACTCCTTCTGTGTCTCCTCCCCTACTCCTCCTCAACTTCACAGGCTTTTGTTCTTTAATCATTATTGTCTCACACATACACACACAACCTGCTGAGTTCATTTAGTGTTGCACATATGTGCATATGTTTAGGAATGACAACTTGGGACTAGATAAGTTATCAGTGTTCTCACTTGACTGCCTTTTATTAAATGCTGGTAGCTCTCTCTCTCTCTCTCTCTCTCTCTGTGTGTGTGTGTGTGTGTGTGTGTGTGTGTGTGTGTGTGTGTATTAACATGTGCACAGGCGCCCATGGAGGTCAGAAGCGCCGGATCCTCCGGAGGCTGGAGTTGTGGTAGCTGTGACCCACCTAATGTGGATGCTGGCATCAGATGCTGGTATATGGTCTGAAGCACTGAGCCATCCTTCCAGCCCTTTAGTAGGATTTAAAAGAAACTTGTAAAAGTTAATAATGAGAAAAGCCTGTTTCTTATCAATAGCTTTTGATGTGTCTTTAAGACAATAACCAATTCTAAGCTAATATCCAAACTAAAATGTATCAATACTACTGCTGTATGAAAATTTTAAACCAAAGCTTTCTAGGCGAGTGATTTAACCAGCTAGAGGACTTCAAAGAACATTCTGGCTGTATTTTTGATCATTTTGGAGTGAACTCTGTGGATGTCCTTGGACTGTGCCGAAAGCTGTACTTCTAAGCTGGCTGTGAGACAGCAAAGGGGGGAGTGAGGGCCAGAAGATGAGTCTCAGCAATGCAGAGCAGATACCTACTCAGACTGCCAGTGATCTTAAAGCCATGGGACAACATGCGAGGGAAAGGAACTGGAAACAAATTCTATGGCAAGTTCTAAGGGCTATTGGATAATCATTTAACTAAGTTCGGGTCTAAAACAGTGGCTCTCAACCTTCCTAATGCTGCGACCCTTTAGTACATCTCCATAAAATTTTTTGTTGCTACTTCATAACTGTAACTTGCTACTGTTATGAATCATAATGCAAATATTTGTGTTTTCTGATGGTCTCAAGCAACTCTTCTGAAAGGGTTGTTTGACACCACCCCCACCCCCACCCCAAAGGGGTTGCAACCCATGTATTGAGAACCACTGGTCTAAAACAAGATTAGGAAGAACTCTAGTTACTGTGGATTATTGAAAAAAAAACTGAACTATACTGGGTTTTAAAAAAAATCTTTGTTGTAAGCTTTATGACTTTAAAGAGTGTCCTTTCTTGCTGTTTGAAGGAGAACTAAGAAATGGGTGGTTCTATATTTCTATCATTGTTAAATAGGAAGGTTTTTGTTGACCCATGTGGCATCAGAGTACCCTAAATTCAGCCACTTTAAGGAACTGGTATTCACAACAAGGTGCTTTGAAATTTCAGGAGTTGTGATTGCCATACAGATCTTAGTTATTGAGGGAGACGAAGGCAGGCAGCAGATACTATGCGGGGGTAATGTGTCAGTGAGGCAAGGAGAAATCGTCTGCAATACACAGAATACAAAGGCACATCACAGTGTAAAGAGCAGAATATGAGGGCAAGAGCAGAAAAACAAAGGGAAAGCAGGCAAATCCCAATGAAAAAGTTTCAAGTCCTTTGAAAACAATAAAGGGGTGGCGGGACTTGCTACAGCTGGAGATGCGCGTTACAATTATTTGTATTTGTTTACAGTTTCATTAGTACTTGAAGATAAGTTTACCTAAGACATAATGATTTTTTTTAAAAAAAAAGGAAAAGAAACTGTTACTCTTCTTGCAAACTAAGTATGCATATCAAAACAACTTCTTTTTGCTGTTGTTTTTCGAGACAGGGTTTCTCTGTGTAGCTTTGGAGCCTATCCTGGCACTTCCTCTGGAGACCAGGCTGGCCTCGAACTCACAGAGATCCACCTGCCTCTGCCTCCAGAGGGCTGGGATTAAAGGCGCGGGCCACCAACGCCCGGCTCAAAACAACTTCTTAGGAAGAAAGGAAAACTCATTTAAGACCAAGGCCAAGCTTAGAAGGACCTGAAATGAGACAGTAAACATACCTGGTTTAATGTGCAGGTAACCCAGTTCTATGGGAAGGAAAAGATGTATACCAGTCTTCTGAGGCACGTGGATTTCTACATTATGCCAGTGATGAATGTGGATGGCTACGACTACACATGGAAAACGGTGAGTGAAAGCCATGGAAGCAAATATACCCGTTTGGGGTATACAGAGATTCAGGGTGAATTGTTCATGCAATCCTGGACCTTGGTGACACAGTTTTGTTATGAAAAAAGTATTCAATTAAAGAAATGTCAAACATCCATAACAACAGATGTGATTGCATACCCCCTAGACATCTGTCTACAGCCTCAGTGGTGACTATCGGCTTTCTGATGCTCTGACAAAATGTCCGAGAGTAAGAGCTCAGAAGGAAGAAAGGTTGGTTTGATCCAGAGCATCAGAAACTTCAGCCAATGATACTGAGACAGGAGGTCATGACAGGGGCGCATGGTGAAACAAAACCGTTTCTGTAATGAAGGATGGGAAGCCAGGAGTGAGACTGGGCTGGTGGGGAGGGTGAGGTAGGATGGTGAGCCAATGTCTCCTACAAGGACACATTCTGCAGTGAGCTCAGTTTCTTCTGATAGAATCCACTTCCGCTCCCTCCCAATCATGCTGTAAGCTGACAGCCAAGCCTGCAACAGATGGGGAATGTTTCAGATCAAACCACCCCCCAGCTCAAGGACCACTGTGTTTCATTTATGTCCTCTTCTGCCTTCTACTTTACTGTTTTAAAGAGAATCCAAGACACTGTGCCATCGTTTTATTAATAAACACTTCATTGTGTATCTCAAAAAGAAAGAAACTCTTGAAAAATAAAAACTCATTGTTGTAGTGGTGACTTATGTCTGTAATCCCAGCAGCTAGGAATCTGAGGCAGGAGTATTGCTGGGAGTTTTAGGTCAGCTTCAACTAAATCATGCTCTGTAGGACAGCCTGGGCTGTAGTGCAAGACCCTGCCCCAACCAACCAACCAACCAACCAACCAACCGAACCAGCCAGCCAACCAACCAACCAAACAACCAACCAGCCAATATATCCAAACCAAAAAGGCACAGTGCAGAGAGATCACTGAAATGCAGAGCTCATAGTTTTGAGCTGAGATATAAGCTATTTTACTTTTCTTTGAAGAGTTCAAAATTGCCTGTGAAATTAATTTAAAGGAGGTGGGGCTAAAAAAGAAGGGCAGTGAGCAGCTTAGTGGAAACCAATGAGTTTCCATACTTGTAGCTGTCAAAATCCATGAGATATCATTTTTACTTGGCTCAAGCCAGCAGTTCAAGTGACTGTGACTGGGACTTGGATGGAGGTGGGGCTGTGTGAGAGGACCATGGCCAAGACAGGATGGTCCAGCTTGATAACCTGTCCCCATCTGCTTCCTTTAGAACCGAATGTGGAGAAAGAACCGTTCTGTCTACAAGAACAACCGATGTGTGGGCACAGACCTGAACAGGAACTTCGCTTCCAAACACTGGTGTGGTAAGCATTTGCTTCATGCATTTCTTCATGAAAATGGTGAGAGACGTTCATGAATTCAAAGTAACGTCAGGGAGGTGTGTCTGAATTAGGAAGAGTCTAATAGCGAGCATCTGAAGTAAATGTAGTGCTATGACTGCTGACTGGAGCCAGCAAACCACTCCCTCCTACTGTTGGCTCATCTTTAAATAAGGAAATCGAGCCAGTTAATTTTTATTTCTTCTTTGATAACCTTCCACATATAGACAATGTATCTTGACTATCTCTATCTTAAACTCCTCTTCTCACTCTCCCCAAACTGCCCTAAACATGTGCTTCTCCTGTTTTAGTTATCCCTGCCTCTCCCCTTCCCTCCCTGCTTCTTCTCCTTTCCTCTTCCTCCTCCTAGTTCACTGGTCCAATTAGTGCCTCCTGCACGAGGATAGGGAACCTACCACTGACCACACCCACAAAGAAAAATGGCAACCTTTCCCTGCAACTGTCAATTGCAAATGGCTCTTCAGTTAGGAAATGGGACCGGTGAGTTCTGGATGCATCCATGATAGTTGTGACTGGTTTGATCTTGTTCAAGTATGTACAGCCAACCATGGTTGCTGTGAGTTCCTGTCATGTTCAAAAGGCAGTGTTTCAGAGCTCTCCTCAGAATCCTTTGGCTCTTAAATTCTTTCTCCTGCCTCTTTTGCAGTACTTCCCATTCCTTGCAGGAATTGACATAAATGGTCCACTTAAGGCTGAGGACTCAACAAGCTTCAGTTTTTAAAGGTCTCTTCTTAGTTTCTAAATTTAAAAAAAAAATACCATCTCAGACTAACAAAGAATTTACCAGAGGTCTTGCTTTAACATGTCATGTTCATCATCAGGACACCAAAGACTAGGGTATGGGATACCCTCTCATTTTAAATTGTCCGGGTAAATGTTTATTTTTGTAGTGTTTTAAATTTTTACCTTTGTGTTCAGATATTGCCTTTCTTAACAAGTTCATCATTTCATGAATAACATGAAATACTAATAAATAATAAAAATATAAAAAATGATACAAAGACAGACACAGTGGGAATTTGCCATCCTTTGGTTTGAATGAACTGAGGTGCTCAGTGAACATGGACTTGGGTCATGAAAACAGTATGCTCCCAGGGAGGCAGATACAAGTTCACCCTTTCTTCCCAATGTACCCAATGTTACAGTTCATAATGCTAGAGTTAAAAAACAGCTATGGGCCAGGAATGATGGTGTCCATCTGTTGTTCCAGCACTTCTGAGCTGAGGCAGGCAGTGACAGGGTTCAAGGCCAGACTGGACCACACAGCATGACCCTGTAAGAAACTACAAACATGCCCCTAAATTATACAAAGAGCTTCAATCCTCTGCCATATTGAAAGTATATACACATGCCTTGGGTAAAATGTGGCTCTCTGAAGTTCCACTCCTGTGAATTAGGGACATAAGGAGAAATACTGAAAGATGGATGTATTAGTCAGGATTCTCTAAAGGCATGTAACTGATAGAATGAAAAAAAGAAGATATATATATATATATATATATATATATATATATATATATATACCACTTCAAATAATTCAATTAAGAAAAGTCCCTCACAAGCAGTCCCTCACCTGCCCCTTGGGTTTTAGCTGTAGTCAAGTTGACAACCAAGGATAGCCATCATAGCAGGCTACCATACAAAGGGACACATACTATGACCTCTTAAATGAATTAATAAATCTTAGTCTGGTACCAAAAACAACAGTCATAACCCACATATCTAACTGTAAACAGATCTGGAGACTTTTTGATGAATTATATTGATTTTTGAGCTGTTAAGATCAGAAAAGTTCATATATAGCAACTAAGAAAATTTAGTTTATTTTTCTTCATTTAACCAAAAGTTTGGGAACAAGTAACAGCTGGAACCTTCCTGGTAAGGGAGACCCACCTAGGACGGCCTTAGCAAGCCTGCTGTAAATGTTTGACTTCAAAAGAAACCCAGATGGCATTTACTGAACATCAGGAATGCATTCTTTATACAAAGGGCCTTCCTTTGTCATTTTTCCGCATTGATAGACTATAGATCTGAGGTGAGGCGCAAGGCACAGAGGGACACACAACTTCTAATAACTCACCCTAACCATTTGACTACAGAGGAAGGTGCATCGAGTTTCTCCTGCTCTGAAACCTACTGTGGACTCTATCCGGAGTCAGAGCCGGAGGTGAAGGCAGTGGCCAACTTCCTGAGAAGCAATATCAACCACATCAAAGCTTACATCAGCATGCACTCATACTCCCAGCAAATTCTGTTCCCCTATTCCTATAACAGAAGCAAAAGCAGGGACCATGAGGAACTGGTAAGCACTACTTATTGACTGTAGTATAAGCATTTAGAAATAAAACAATATTCTGTCCAAGAATCAAAATGGAAGGAAAACCGTTTTCCTTCAGGGAAGAATAGGTAGGTGTTTTTCTCTATCCCCTAACTCTGCCAGGAATCAGCTTGGGTCACTAGGAGAATTCCAAGAATTGCTGTTAAGCTGGGGACAGGAGCTTCATTCCCAGGGAATGGCTTCCCTATGTTAGATAAACTGTGCAGAGGCCGGGAGGGAGCTGTTGCCCTTGACTTACTTGGTGGTCACTAACTTGGACGCCAGAAGGACAACTTGCCTCTAGTTAACTCCTAGCCCCTCACTCATTGGGGTGCCAGCAGTGAGAACTATTTACATACTGCCCTTTTCAACTCCCAAGGGTTGGTGCTATCCAAGAACCAGCAGTGTCTACACCCAGGCAGACCTGTTTGGAATGTAGTGGACAAAACAGGACATTCAATGAAGGCCCACATAGTCTGCTACTTTCTTACGACTTTTCAGTCCCAGGTGCTCTGTTGGGATTGACAGTAAAGCATGAAGGAGTCTCAGTGACTTATACCCAGACTCAGGCAAGCCCTTGTCCCGGGTGCTTTGCAGACAGAGGAGGTGCCTGGCATGGGCAAAGGCCAATCTCTCTTTAGTAGACTGTGCTTGTTGCATTTTGTTCCCTGGCTCTCTTAATAGAGTAAAGTCTACCTGCATTAGGTAGGCCATGTTTATATGCCTGGGTAGGTAGGACTTATGACAAATACTTTTTTTTTTTTTGCATTTTCTGAAAATATCTTGTTTGAAACAAAAACATGCTTGCTATTTGTTTTTTTTTTAATTCTCAAAGGAAACATTTTAAAGAAATGTCTATCATTTTATTATTTATTTTTGTTAGTTTACTTATTAGCACTGTGTATAGGGAAATCAAAGGATATTTACCATGATTTAGATATACAGCTGGTTTGATTTTGCCTTATTTGGTGGTTGTTATCAGAACAACTACTTATTATGGGTAAAACTCTATATTCTGTCAACATTCAAAGAAGCATTAGGTAAGTCCTGCAATTAAGGATAACTCCATATGGTTAGAGAGCTAGTCCATAGGGAGTGTCACAGACAGCTGTATTCATAGATGACGCATCTCCATTACAACACGAGCTCAACAATGACAGAAGTCACTGCTGCCTGGAATGCCAAGAAAATAAGAGGACAAAATGAGCCCCATTCTTGACGAATGCATTGTTCATTAAGGGGTAAAGAAACAAGAATAATAAAGTTTACTGATATCAAGACACCATTGCAACCAGGTACAGAGGAATTTCTATGGGCAAGGGAGGACTTCTATGCAGAGGAGATGGTGGGCCCCAGGGACTGAACTCAGGTTGTCAGGCTTGGCAACAAGCACCTTTACTTTCCCATAGAGCCATCCCATTGGCTCCTAAAACCATATTTTGCGGGGGGGGGGCACAAAAAATACTGGCATAACAAAACAACCCCAGATATTTCTCTGGGTCCTCAAGCAACTGATAGTACCATGATGCTAGCTCCAATTTTAGAAAAAATAAGTGTTAAGTGGGAATTTCAGAAATCTTTTCTTTGCTTTTTTTAAGATTTATTTACTTATTATATGTACAGTGTTCTACCTGAAGGCCAGAAAAGGGCACCAGATCTCATTACAGATGGTTGTGAGCCACCATGTGGTTGCTGGGAATTGAAACTCAGGACCTCTGGAAGAGCAGCCAATGCTCTTAACCACTGAGCCATCCCGCTAGGTCCCAGAAACTATTTCTAAGAGTTGGGAATCACATGTAGTGGAAACTGCTTCATATCAGGGGTGTGGTCCTTCATTTGATGAGTCTTTAGAAGTTGTTAGACAAACACACAATCGAGTTTGTGAGAAGCAAATTGTGCATATAAGTAGGAACATGTGTGTACTTTAGAGAAGTGGAATTTAAAGTCTGGTGAAAATTTTGTCTAGGAATGGGATAGTTCCCAGTATTATAAATATCTAGTTCATTTTACATAATAAATTAATTCCTGAAAAGCTATGGCAGGTTTTTAAAATGCAAATTAAAGAAAGCATTCCATATATTGGCAGGCAGAGATATTTTTTCCTTAAGCCACTGAGTTGTGATTAATTCATGTGATTATGATTATGTTTGTTTAGAAAGTTCAATCTCTCCTGTTTCAAAGCTTCAAATTGACCAACACCTCTCTCCTATTGCTTCTAGTCTCTAGTGGCCAGTGAAGCAGCTCATGCGATTGAAATTATTAATAAAAACAGCAGGTATACATATGGCAGTGGCTCAGAAAGTTTATGTAAGTATTCCTCCTCTTCTCTTCACCCCTTCTTTTCTTCCTTCTCCTCCACTTCTTTCTATTCCCCCTCTGCATTCTATTTGCAGTGTTGGGAATGACACCCATGGCCTTAGGTGCTCTGGACAAGCATACAGGTCCTGAGGGCCAAACGCAGTACAGTGTTCCTTCTTGAGAGCTTAAACCATGAGGCACAACAGAGGCATCCATTTAGTTTAGACAACAAAAGAAGCCAAAGTGGTATTTAAGACATGAAGCTTAGCACTACAGAGCAGAGGTTATCTAACTAGTAATCACACTAATTATGTAAAGAAGAAGAAAAGGCCTACAGGGTCAAAAAAAAAAAAAAAGTGTAAGATGCCCACAGCTATTGTGTGGGATGTAAATCAAAAGATAACCATTTACCATGCATGCCTTTTAAGTGACAGCCTATTTCCTGCTCCTAGTGAGAGCCTGAGTGTGGCAAATTCAACAAATGTTTCTGACCCACTTCTACTGAGAGATACTTATTGAGAAATCCTTGCACGGGCAGCAAAATATTGATTCTGTTCTTCTGAGTCTGAAGGATAGATGGTGTCATGTGGCACAATTCCTGGGGAGATAGGAACAGAAGTCTACTCACTCTAGACAGGGGAACTGACAACACACCAAAGTCTGGGGAACCAAAGAGTTTGCGGATTGCTTACAGAAATATGGATGAGGGGTTACTAATAGGGGCATAAATGACCCAAAGGAAACATCACAGAAAGCCCATTCCAGCATGGGTGATTGGTCAGGGAAGCTGAAACCCTGGAGCACACTGCTGGAATGTTGTATCTAGGAGTATGAAAAACAAACATGTAAACAAATGTCAGCCAACTATAACTCAATGACCAAGCCTAGGTCACATATATTTTTTTTTTGTTAGGTCACAACATTTTTCATAGCCTTGGGACTAAGAATGGTTTTCCTATTTTTTTAAATGTTTGAAAAAAACATGAAAATAATTAAATTTTGACACATCAAAATTATATGAAATTCATATTTGTTTCTGTGAATAGTTTTATGGAACACAGTCGTGTTCATTCATTTGCATATTATCTATGGCAGCTTTTATGACAGCCAAGATAATTGCAGCAGAGACCAGATGGTTCACAAAACAAACTATTTCCTATCCTATCTTTTTCAGAAAAAAAAAATGTCTTGCCAACTCCTGATGGAAACAAATGGACACAATTTCCCTTTGTGATTTCAAGAAAATAAAATGGACTTTTAGATTTGAGAATTATTGTAGCTGAGAGGAGTTACTTGGCTAATGTGGCCTGGCAAGGCAGTCCTTGGAGAACTATTAAGTAGCTGATAGTGTAATACGTTGTATAAAGGCATGAAAAAGATTTTGAGACAATATTATGAAAGCCCAGGATCTTACTTAATAAACATGATTGACACAAGGCTATAACAAGTTACATCCAAATTCTTTTCAATACCCCCTTAGGTATCATTAGCAGGAAGTCCAAGCTTTTCCTTTGTCTTCAGTCATCTCTGGGGTTGTCTGACAAACCTCTGTCCTTTGGAGTCATTGGACCATGGATGCCTTTTCTGACATAGACCATCTTCACACACTCATTCACTCAGGATGCATCTCTCTCTCTCTCTCTCTCTCTCTCTCTCTCTCTCTCTCTCTCTCTCGTGTGTAAGCACAAGATAAAAGCTGGAACCATAAATGTTAGGTATTTGTTGATCATAATTATCAGAAATACTTATGGATGACTGAAAAATCCACTGCACGTGGGTATTTAAAAATACTGAAAATTGTGCACAAACCATGTTTAATACCAGCACTCAGGAGGTGAAGCAGGAAGACCAAGAGTTCAGGGACATCCTGGGTTATATGGAGAGTTGGAAGCCAGCCTGGGCTACATGAAACTGTGTCTCAAAAGTATAAGTAATGCTTCAGTAAACACACCTCACAAGCAATCCAAGCACAGACAGACAGAGGCACATTATATAATTTCTTAATTGGAAAACTTTAGGAAATCAGTCAAAACTATTAGTAACATAGTTGTAAGGTGGTTCATGAGGCACTAAATACATTCAGAGTACATTGCATATATGTAGAAGTAACCAGGCAGAAAATAAAAGAAGGCATGGAGGCATACCCCTGCAATCTCAACACTTGTGGGTGGGGGCTAAGTCAGGAAGATCACTAGCTTGAGTTGAACTTGAATTATAGAGTGAGTTTCAGCCAGCCTGGGCTATATAGTTAGACCTGTGAGAACACACCACACACCAACACACAACCACACGCACACCCAGAGAGAGAGAGAGAGAGAGAGAGAGAGAGAGAGAGAGAGAGAGAGAGAGAATAGATCCGACTACCTGCCACAACCTTTATGAATATGTATGTGTGTTTTCATACACATACATATGGGTTGTTAAATGTGTGTATGTATTCGTGTATATATAAACACACAATAAATCTGTGGCACCTACAAGAAAATCTAAAACTTTTACTGGAAGACGAATAACAGGAGAATTCTTCATGTTTTTGGCAATAGGAAAATACTATTAAAATTTACCTAAATTGATTTGTATAGTTGATGCAATTCTGTGAACACTTAAAAAATTTTGAAAGAAGCCTACATGCTTTGTGATGGGGAACGAATATTGAAACTTTCCTGTTGATTTTTTTTTTTTTTTTCTGTTTTGCTTTTTGCTCTTTTGGGAGATCCACCACCCAGCTTCCAAATAAATAAACATGAGACATAATTATTACATATAAATGCCTGGCTTTAGCTTGGATTGTTTTTAGCTAGCTTTTTAAAAACTATCCCATCTATCTTTTGCCTCTGGGCTTTTTATCTTTCTCTATTTCTGTATACCTTTCTTTACTTCTTTCTCCGTGGCTAGCTGGATAGCTGGCCCCTGATGTCCTTCTCTCCTCCTTTTCTCATTCCTTGACCTCTCCTCTCAGGTTTCTCCTTCTATTTATTCTCTCTGTCTTCCAGCCCCACCTATTTTCTCCTGCATTGCTATTGGCCATTCAGCTCTTTATTAGACCAATCAGGTGTTTTAGACAGGCAAAGTAACACAGCTTCACAGAGTTAAACAAATACAACAAAAAAGAATGCAGCATATCTTTGCATCATGAAACAAATGTTCCTTAGCATAAACAAATGTAACACACCTTAAAATAATATACCATAACATTTTCCTAAATTGATTTGTATATTTGATTAATTTTATGAATATGATTTTGAAGTACATTTGGTGCTGAGAGCTTTTATCATTTATTACAGAAGTAGCAATTAATATTCTAGGTATCAACTCACCAGAATTGACTTCTGATAGAGAAAACTTGCCTTGCAAAGTCTGCAAGAAATACAGACTCCAGAATACCTGTTGCTATAAATTTGGCCGTATACTCTTGATATATAGAATATATACTGGGTGCTTTATATTTTCAAAAAGATCCCAGTGAAAGGAAATTCCTTCTCACCGGGGTGTCAGCAATAAGAGCTGCAGCCTCCACCATCTCAGCACATACCTTTATTATTATTGTTTATTATTATACTATTATCATTATCTTTATTTTACATCCCTCCCTTCTCAACTCTCATTCCCTTCCCTGACTTCCCCTCTGCTCTGCTCCCACCCCCAATCCACTTGTCCTCTGTTTCTGTTCAGAAAGCAGCAGGCCTCAAGCTGTTGTAAGGCTAAGCTCCTAAACTTGTATTAAGGCTGGGCAAGGCAATTCTGTATGAGGAATAGGCTCTCAAGTGCTAGACAAAGCATTAGGGACATCCCCTGATCCCATTGTTCGGAGCCCTACACATTGGCCAAGCTACACAGTGCCACATGCATGATATAGAAGGACAGGATTGATCAAATGCAGGATCATTTCAAGTAGCTCCTTACTCCATTTAACTCTTCCCCACCTCTTAAGTCTGCCTGAATGTTTTACAAATCATGTCCACTCTGAGACTTCAGTTTGTCTTGACATTTTTCAAGTCACGTCTCCTTGTTTTTGTTAAGACTTTATCTGCCCTCTGACTCTGAGAGACATGCATGCTTGGTATCCTTGCTATTGTCAGAGAATTGCTAATTGTGCCTGTGGGTATATAAACTGGAAACTTTATGGGAATCTATGAGAATTTTTAAGAAGAAATTTAAAGAATTTTTAAGGAGAACTTCTAAAGGGAACTTTAAGACAGAGCTTTTAGAGGGAAAACTTTTAGAGAGAACTTTTGAGGAGAAATCTTAAAGAGAGCTTTGAAGTTTTGAAGAGAAACTTTTCAAGAGAACTTAAGGGGAAGAACTTTTTTTTGAAAAATAAAGAGCCATGAGGAAAACGATATGTGTATGAACTGGTTTGGTCACCATCAGACCTTTTTAGCTAACCTCTACCTGCCTGTAAGGCTTCTGCCTGAACCTTGGTTAATTTGGCATTTGCTAAAATAATATGTAAAATGCTAATAATAAGGGTAATAAGGAACAATTTGCCCTACTGAGGCATTGAAGCATGTTATAAGCATAGGATAACTAGGATAGTGTAGAACAGCCTGGAAGAGACAGATATTAGAAGGAAATAATAGGCACAGAAAGATATTCAAATATATAGGGAGACCTGGTATTTCATAAAGGAGACACTCAAGCCAGTTGAATTATTTAATTAAGCTAGGTGGTGGTGGTGGTGGTGGTACACACCTTTAATCCCAGCACCCGAGTAGCAGAGACAGGGGGAATCTCTGTGAATCTGAGGCCAGACTGGTCTACAAAGTAAGTTCCAGAACAGCCAGAGGTGTTACACAGAGAAACCCTGTCTCAAACAAACAAACAAACAAAAACCAACCAACCAAACACAAAACTAAACTGAATTATTAATACATATTTCACTGAAATAAATGCCAAATTGATCAAATATTAAAGTACAAAACCCCACCGTAAGCTAGAAACTTAAGTGAGAAAAACTTCACACGTTACATGGATGTAGTAACTTTAATTGCCGTTCTTATAAACAATATATAAAATGAAATGTGTAAAAAAGTAAGCAAGGAAATTGACAGAAAAATGTGAAGATGACCAATAAATATATAAAAGCATGCAATTCTCTGATAAAGAAATCCAGTTGCATATTTTTTTTCTCAGAAAATTGCCAGGATGCATGATTCTTGCCAATGATTGCAGGAGCTGGCAGTAAGTGTACTCGCACTATGGTAGGAGAAATAGGTTCCATCCTTTTGAGTAGTACTTGGTAACAAGTGTGGTAACTGTTAAAGGTACACAACCTTAGACACATAATTACACCTCTAGCAAACATTCTGAAATAATAAGTGTTGATTTATAAGCAAAGGTGCTTATTCTAAAGAAACTAAGTTACTCATCAACAAAATTATTCAAATTTCTCTCATGTGGCTTTACAACGCAGTCCTATAAAATCATTACAAATGAAAAAATAATTACTGATGTAGATTCAAACTCAGTAACGATACATTTGGAAATGTAACAATAATAATTACCTCTAGAAATGTTACAAAATAGCAGGTAGGCACTGTTTGACTTTATGGAATAAAAATTAAGCCAGAAAATTCATGCATTATAAAACACACTTATCATTTCTTGATCCGGCTATTGTTGAGTTCTGGGCAACATTTGTGTTCTTTCTTAACGTGTTTTCTTTCCAGTGTTCCCAACTTTCTCGGATAAGAAATTTAGGTAACTTAATCAGAAGAAAGCAAAGTTATTTTAATTTCTAAAAAAAAAAAAAGTTTTGTTGTTGTTGAGTTGAAATAAATGTATTTCAAAATCTTCTCTTTCGTCTTCTTTTAGACCTAGCTCCTGGAGGTTCCGATGATTGGATCTATGATTTGGGCATCAAATACTCATTTACGATTGAACTGCGAGACAAAGGCAGATACGGATTCTTGCTACCCGAGAGATACATTAAACCTACTTGTTCAGAAGCTCTGGCTGCAGTCTCCAAAATAGTTTGGCATGTCGTCAGGAACGTTTAATGCCCTTGCCTCTGCTCGGGGTGTTTTTATTTTACTAATCTCAGCAACACCCAATTGTGAACTAGCTTTCTAAGTTTAATCAGTTACCTTGGTTTTGTCAAAGAATAAAATACATAACACTTTGAGCTTAAGGGTGCCAATGGTTCATGTCTAAGGGGCTAGGTACTGATCCTCAACACCCTCATTCCTTGATTTATGATGGCCACGTATCTCAAGCAGTTTTAAGATTTATTATTTGTATGTGTGCATGTGTGCCCCTGCGCGAGCTTAAGCACCTGGTTCGGGCTGGACCCCCCAAAAAGCGCTGGCTCCACTGAAACTGAAGTTACAGGTTATTAGCAGCCACGTGGGTGCTGGGAACCAAACCTGGTCTCTGCAAGAGCAGCCGTGGTTCTTAAGGGCTGGAGACGTTTCTCTAGCCCCTCTTAAGCGACGCTGATCCTAATTTTATGCAGATCGTTGGATCCAAGCAGCAAAGCAAAGGCAGTTGGAAGCACCTTAAGGATTTCCACTCCAAAATTTCAGTCGGTTTCTGCTCGTGTTCTTGAAAGCACAATCCGTGCCCAGGTTTTGCTCCTGCGATAGGCCCGGGCGGGGGAAGGGCGGATGTCAAATTCTGCAGCTCAGAAACATGCCAGGCCGTGGTTGCCGCCAGTAAGTAACAAAGTGGCACTTTACCCACTGGAAAACCGTTAAACCGAGAACCTCTCAGTTAACTGAGACTCTCAGCTCTCCCTAGCTAGCTCCCAGGTCCCTTCCCCAAATGTAGGTCGGTAGGTGGCAGGTGCCCTCACTCCGCACCGTCCCCCTGCCCCCTGGGGGTGTGTGGGAGGGGCGGGACTTACTCGCTGACGTCTAATCTGGAGGCCGGAAGCCGCTTGGCCTGTGGCGGAGCGGGACAAAGTAGCGACTTCCGGCAGTGTGTAGGCGCCGCCTGTCCCGCGGCCTGGCAGGATTGTGGTGTTAGCGCGTAGCCCTGCTGCGGCCTCTGTGCGTCTCGTCTCGCGTCCCGAGCTCTCTGGAGCCTGACGAGGATCCGGGCGGCTCCGCTGCCCCCCCCTGTCGGCGCCCCCCCGCCTGCGGAGGGCCGGTTCCTGGGAGCCGCGCGTGCACGTCCTCTTCGTCGTCCTCCCGGGGCCGGGCGCGGGGACAGTCGGCTCCCCAGCTCCTTGGAGCGGAGGCAGCAGGGACGCCTGAGGACTGAGCTTACTAAGGGTGCTCGGAGAGGAGGTAAGCGTCCTGGGAGCTGACGGGGAGAGGCGTTGGGCCGGGCTCAGGAGGGAGGTTGACGCGGTGCCCTGCATCCTCTCGCGGCGTATGCTCCTTGCTATTCTGAGCTCGGCTTGAGCACCCCGCTCTTAACTCTGCAGTAGCTCCCAGTGCTTCCCTGTGTCTGTTGCTCTAGTTGTGGTTCTGGAGGCCGTGTCAGGGGGCCGGCGGACTTGGGGTGCCCTGGCGCGGTGGTCTCATTGGTGTGTGATGAAAGGGTGCATGCAGCGGTGTGGTCTTGGATGTAGAGTTACCTTTCTTCACGCGTTCCAGACCTGTCGGAGAAGGGAGAGTCTAACTTTTGATTGTTTCTGGTCTTGCTCATTTCCCGGCTACAGTAAATGGAGTGTAGGAGCGCTACTTTTGTCTTTACACTCCTCAGTCACTTTTGGTAACTATTTATCAAAAGCAGGGGGAGGGTAGAATGAAAAGAGAATGTACATCTGACAGTATCATTTTCTAAGTAGGTTAACTTTATGTGGTTGGAAAAGTATTCAGAGTTGAGAAGTTTTGGATGGTATTGGTAGGGTCTTGTTTGTGAAGGGCAGTAAGTTAAGTTAATTAGTTTTATTCCGAGTCTTCAGAGAGTTTGAACTTTGGTTATTGTGGACGTGTGGAATCTCTTCTGGTTTGGGGGGTTTTGGGGAAGTTATTTGAGAAGTTTGGAATTTATAGTCTGGCATTTAAGGTTTTAAAAGTCTGTGATATTGGGCACTGGTGGCGCACACCCTTAGTCCCAGCATTCTAGAGGTAGAGGCAGGTGAGTATCTGTGAGTTCGAGTTCAGCCTGGTCTACAGAGTGAGTTCCAGGACAGCCAGAGCTACACAGAGAAACCTTATCTCAAAAAACAAACGACAACAATGAAACAACCAAAAACTCCTTAGAAAAGTCTGTGGTGTAGTTGCGCAGTTAAGTCTAAATGACTCTGTTTCTGCCTTTGTGTTCAGTTTTGCTCTGTAATTTTGACATTACTGGCATCCAAGCAACAATATTTTGCAATACAATGTATAGATTTCCAAACAACTTCCAGCTTTGAAATGGCTTCATTGTATCAGATGACAGTTTCAACTGCAGACTTAGCAAGTTGATGTAGATATGTAGCAGTTTGTGTGAAAACAGTTTTGCTCTGAAACTTGAGTTTTAGTGTGATTGTCTGGTAGGATGCAGTTGTTGTACGAAACACAGATACCCAAATGTGCAGAAACTCAAACCCTTCTAGAAAATGATGCAGTCTTTGAATATGTCCACATCTTATGTGCTTTCAATCATCTCTATACTTCTAATGAATAGTATTATGTACATACTATATAAGTAGTTTTATACTTGATTGCTTAGGAATAATGTAAATAAAGGTTTTTACACTTTAAAGTAGTTTTTTTTCCCCTGAATATTTCAATCCAGGGATACAGGCATTTTATTGCTTTCTGTTTACTGTTGATTCACAGTGAACATTAACTTATTATTTTGAGTATATACTCTGTCCACAGCCACACCATTCTGAATGCACCTGCCCTCAGAAGCTAAGCAGGGTCTGGCTTGCTTAATGCTTGGATTGGAGATGTATACACTTACCTACCTCAATTTGATGTCTCTACTATAAATTTAAAATACTAAAGTACAGTGTAACATATGTCAATACAAAGAGTTGGTTCTTCGAGAAAATCAACAAGATAGACAAACCTTTATCCAAACTTACTAAACAGCAGGGAGTGAACATGCAAATTAATAAAATCAGGAATGAATAGGGCGACATAACAACAGACACAGAGGAAATCCAGAGAATCATCAGGTCATACTTCAAAAACCTATATTCCTCAAAATTCGAAAATCTAAAGGAAATGGACAATTTTCTGGACAGATTTCACTTACCAAAATTAAATCAAGAACAGATAAGCAACTTCAATGACCTATAACCCTAATGAAATTGAAGCAGTCATCAGAAGTCTCCCAACCAAAAAAGTCCCAGGGCCAGATGGCTTCGGTGCAGAATTCTACCAGAAATTCAAGGTACAGCTAATACCAGTTCTCCTCAAAGTATTCCACACAAGAGAAGCAAATGGGTCATTGCCAAACTCTTTTTATGAGGCTTCAATAACCTTGATACCCAAGTCACACAAAGACACAACTAAGAAAGAGAACTATAGACCAATATCCCTCATGAACATTGATGCAAAAATTCTCAATAAAATACTGGCAAATCGAATCCAAGAACACATCAGAGAAATCATCTACCATGATCAAGTAGGCTTCATCCCAGGGATGCAAGGATGGTTCAACATACACAAATCCATCATGTAATCCACTATATAAACAGACTGAGGAAAAAAACCCCACATGATCATCTCACTAGATGCCGAAAAAAGCCTTTGACAAAATCCAACACCCCTTCATGATAAAAGTCTTGGAGACATCAGGGATAACAAGAACCTACCTCATCATAATAAAAGCAATATACAGCAAGCCGACAGCCAACATCAAATTAAATGGAGTGAAACTCAATGCAATTCCTCTAAAATCAGGGACAAGAAAAGGATGTCCACTGTCTCCATACCTCTTCAAAATTGTCCTTGAAGTTCTAGCTAGAGCAATAACAAAAGGAGATCAAGGGAATACAAATTGGAAAGGAAGAAGTCAAACTCTCACTATTTGCAGATAATGTGATAGTCTACATATGTGACCAGAAAAACTCTACCAGGGAACTCCTACAGCTGATAAACACCTTCAGCAAAGTGGCAGGATACAAGATTAACTCAAAAAAAAAAAAAATCAGTAGCCCTACTATATACCGATGACACATTGGTGGCGAAAAAAACCAGAGAAACATCACCCTTTACAATTGCCACAAACAACATAAAATGC